CAACTGTTCTCCTGAACTCTGTGCCTTCTCAGTTTCTTTGCTGGCTTGTTCTCTTAACCTAACCAATTATTATTGAGTGCAGGCTAAGTCCTTAGTCGTCTTCTCTATCTAAACTCATTCCTTTGATCTCCCTCATGGCTGAAAATATAATTTATATGTTGAAAACCCTCAAATTAAAATTTTCCAATCTTAACCTTTTTTCTGAACTCCAGAAAACATATATACAATTACTAATTTGACATTTCCCCTTGGATATCTAATGAATGTCAAATTGAACATGACCAAAACTGAACTCCTTATCTTCCCCCCAAATTTACTTCTCCAATGTCTTCCATATGTGTATACATACATATCCTTCCAGGTGCTCAGGCCAAAAACCTTGATGTTATCCTTGATGCCCTCTCTTTTCTTCACATCCACAGTCAATCTGTCAAAATATCCTGTTAGCTTTGCCTTCAGCATACATCCGGTATCTCCACAGCTACAGTCCTGGTCTAAGCCACCAACACCTCTCACCTAGATTACTGCAACAGCCTCTTTATGGTGTCTCTGCCTCCATCGTTAACCCACTACAGTCTAGTCTCAACATAGCAGCTAGAGTAATATTGCTAACAGCTGAAACAGAGCAATGGCTTTTCATCATACTCCAAGTAAACGCAAAGGTCCTTAAGATGGCCTGCAAGGTCCTCCAAACCTCTCATACCATTGATGCTCTGTCTAGATTCATACCACCACTTCTTCCCTTGCTCATTTCAGTCCAGCCACCATATCCTCCTTTGTTGTTCCTCTATCATGCATGACAAACTTCTGTCTACGAGCCTTTGCATTTGTTTCTCCTTCTTTCTGAAATGTTCTTACCCCAGATTGTTCCAGGTTTGTTTTTCTCTTGAGACAGGATCTTGCTCTGTCACCTAAGCTGGAGTACAGTGGTGTGATCACAGCTCACTGCAACCTCAAACTCCTGGGCTCAAGTGATCCTCCCATCTCAGCCTCCCAAGTAGCTGGGATTAGAGGTATGCACCATGACTGGTTAATTTTTTTATATTTTTAGTAGAGAAGAGACAAGGTCATGCTATGTTGCACAGGCTGGTCTGGAACTCTTGGCCTCAATGCAATCCTCTAGCTTCGGCCTCCCAAAATGCTGGGATTTCAGATGTGAGCCCCATGCCAACCACACAGTTTCTTTACCTCTCTCAGGTGAACTCAAATAGATTTTTTCAGAAAGACCTCTCTTTACTATCAGATACAAAACTGTGACTCATCCCATTTCCACACCCTAGCACTCCCCATTTCTCTTTCCTGCTTTATTTTCTCTAAAGCACTTATCACTTTCCAACATACTACTTGATGTATTTATTGAGTTATTTATTGTCTTCTATAAAAATTTAAATTCCAGAAGCAGAGTTTTTTTTTGTCTGATTGTTCACTGTTGCATCCCTAGAGCCTAAAACAGTGTGAGGGACATATCAATCTTTATTATTTTTATTTATTTGTTTTTGAGATGGAATCTCGCTCTGTCACCCAGGCTGGAGTGCAGTGGCATGATCTCAGCTCACCGCAACCTCCGCCTCCCAGGTTCAGGCAATTCTCCTTCCTCAGCCTCCTGAGTAGCTGGGATTACAGGCATGCACCACCATGTCTGGCTAATTTTGTATTTTTAGTAGAGACAGGGTTTCACCATGTTGGCCAGTCTGGTCTCGAACTCCTGACCTCAAGTGATCTGCCCACCTCAGCCTCCCAAAGTGCTGGGATTACAGGCATGAGCCACCGCACTTGGCCAATTTTGTTATTGTTTAAATTTTTTTCATTTTTTACTTTTTGAGATAGGTTCTCATTCTGTCATAGCTCACTGTAACCTTGAATTCCGGGGCTTAAGTAATCCTCCTGCTTCTGCTTCCCAAGTAGCTAGGACTACAGGTGCATGCCACCAAGTCCGGCTGATTTTTAAATTTTTTGTAGAGACAGGGTCTAGCTATGTTGCCCAGGGTGATCTTGAACTCCTGGCCCCAAGTGATCCTCCCATCTCTACCTCCCAAAGTACTGGGATTACAGACATGAACCATCACACCAGGCCCACAGTCGTCTTCTACTCATTTAGCAGTGACTGCGCCTCTAGAAATGCTGTAAATAAACTATGTAAAAATATAAGTGGTTGTATGCATGAAACATCTAAAGTGGAAAGTTGTTTCTTTAAAGCAAGAAGGACTAATCTGGTATAAATATACCTCTGTTAATTGCAAAAATGATAACAGAGAAGGGTGTTAAAAGTTATGTTGAAATTGGGAGCTAAGATAATGCTCAAGGGAAAAAAAGATCTTTTATAATATACATACAAAACATAAGGTAGGTGGCCAGAGTACCATGACGGGTGTGGAGAGCCTACAATCAGATAAAGAGAAAACAATAATGACCTTCACCCTAGCCATGAGTGCAGGGTCCTGGCTAACAATTCTTACATCAGACCACACCAGCTGAAAGAAAAACATTTCAAGCCCTTCTTTAGGAGGAAGGAGCCCCACAACTGCTTCTATTACTCTACTTGCTATTCTTACCTGTCTAAAATTCATCGGTTAGACAGAACAGATGCTGATGCTCAGAATCGTCATAATCACATACAAGAGTCTCAATTTTCCAGATATTGAGCCAAGGACCAAAAGACAGGTAGAATGCCCTCTCCTACCTCTTCCCTACCTGTTTTTGTTTCTAGAGTAATCACAGGTTGGCTGCAGGGGGAGGCAGACAGAGGTATAAAATATCTTCTGAACATGCCTTGCTTTTGTCTTTGATGGCAGGTTTCTCTAGAGGACGCTTAGGAAACTTAATTAGGGTATAAAAAATTAGCTAATATTTGAATATTCTTGCCCTTTATATGAATATACACATACATTACGGAATAAATTTTCTTTTTTTTTTTTTTGAGACGGAGTCTTGCTCAGCCACCCAGGCTGGAGTGCAGTGGCTCCATCTCGGCTCACCGCAACCACCGTCTCCCGGGTTCAAGCGATTCTCCCATCTCAGCCTCCCAAGCAGCTGGGATTACAGGCACCTGCCATCATGCCCGGCTAATTTTTGTATTTTAGAAGAGACGGGGTTTCACCATGTTGATCAGGCCGGTCTTGAACTCCTGACCTCAGGTGATCCACCTGCCTTGGCCTCCCAAAGTGCTAGGATTACAGGTGTGAGCCACCGCGCCCGGCCCAAGGAATAAATCTTAATGACTACGCTATCAATTTAAAGATCAAAAATGTCATGGAGGCCAGGCGTGGTGGCTCACGCCTGTTATCCCAGCACTTTGGGAAGCCAAAGCAGAGGGATTACTGAGGTCTGGAGTTGAAGATGAGCCTGGCCAACATGGTGAAACCCCGACTTTACCAAAAATACAACAATCAGCTGTGTGAAGTGGTGGGCGCCTGTAATCCCAGCTACTTGGGAGGCTAAGGCAGGAGAATCGCTTGAACCTGGAAGGCGGAGACTGCAGTGAGCCAAGATCGCGGCACTGCACTCCAGCCTGGGTGACAGAGCAAGACACTCAAAAAAAAAAAGTAATGGAACAGATACTCTTCAGCTACATACTATGTAAAACAATATACCGTTTTTTCAAAAAGTGATATATAAAAGTTACAACATGGATCTTTACCTGGGTCACAATCTTCTATGGCTTCCCACAAGTCCTCTGTAACTAAGGATAACTAGTTTGTCAAAACAAAACCAATAAGCCTAAAATACATGATTACACAACTAAGGTATGCTTTATTTTGAAAACTCACTTTCTCTTTAGAGGTTACTTGGTCTTCAATCAAGGACTATGGGGGCGATTTAACTGGAAAAAGTCCGTTTTTAAAAATGTTTTATACATAATAGTGTGTTTTATTAAAAACTGAAACAGCTTAAACCGCTGATTGCTACCATTCTTGCTTTGACAAAACTATCCGAAGCTAACACGTTGAACTGGTCAAGACTCAACTCTCCATCATTTTACATAGTTTTGGAAAATTACAACAAAACATAACAAAAGTCATTCCACTCTGGTGTGAGGTGCCACGTTTGAAATAATTATATAAATAAATCATGGCTTTAAAATACAAAATGCTTAACTGCTTTTTTAAAAATTGAAACAAACAAACAAACAAACAAACAAAAACAACTAGCCTTGAGCCGTGAAGATCATAAATTAAGCTCAAAGCAAATAAATACGCATTATAAGCAGCATACACTTAAGAGTAGTTACTCTTAGCAAATCCCTGAAACGGTAATGGTACTTCAGTAAGGGACTGGTATTTTGGCTTCTCTGGACTTTTCTGGAGAATATAAAACTGAAAAGGCCACAATCTCTGCGGGTCGGCAAAAGAAAGGCTAAGACTGGAGGATCCCAGGATTGGGACAGGAATAGAGGATTGCCTCAGACCTAGAACTAAATGAGATTCCGTCTTTGTGTTTATAGAAACTAAGACGAAAAACCACACTGCCCCACAGACAGCTCCAAACTCTGTGGAAGAGAGAAGGGCGGGTGGGCGGCAGGTGTCAGGCAGTTTCCGCTCCACGTCTCTGTCGACTGTCGCCGCCCCCCACCCTCCCAACTCCCGTACGGGGATTCCCGCACCAGGCGACAGGCGCCTCGGGGCGGGGGTCTGAGAAGGCGGCTAAGAGCTGCACTGGGGCTTCCGCCCCGTCTGGGAAGCTTGTTTGGCTGGGCCAGGACGGACTCGGCAGGGCGCGGAAGGGAGCGGTGGGCGCGCGCTGGAGGGCGAGCGCGTCGCAGCCTCACCTTGGACACCATTTTCTTGAGCTGGCTCTCCGACACCGCCATGACGGCCCACTTGCGACTCCCTTTCCCGCAGGCAGAAAGTCAGCCGCTGCTGGGCTGCCCCAGGCCGTCCCACACAATCGCACACCCCCGACCCGGCCTCAAACAACAGGAAGTCGGAACCAAAGCACCACTTCCGTTTCCACTACGTCACTTCCGGGCCGCCATCCTGCGGGCAAGGGTGGACGCCGTGTGGGATTGAAAGAGACTTGACGGGGTAGGTTCCAACCAACCCTACCCTCGAGTGCCGGATTCAGCAGGACGAATCAGGTCCCAAAGATGTGGGCAAGACTGTTCCGAGGGTCGAAACTCTGGTTCAGGATAAGATTGGCAGGTAATTCACAGAGTCGACTTGAGGAAGCTTGTGCCGGAAAGGGAGGAAGTACCAAGGGCTTGCCAATGAGCCTTAATGACTGATTCATCAAGTGGGAGGGCACTGCACTGGCAGTCAGAGTGTTGTGTCACTGACTTGCCCTTGTGATAATGGTAGGCTAGTGCATTTCTAGCTCAGGCATACGTTTCTCCCGACTGTAAAGTGATACACTTGCATTAGATGATGCCCAGTGTTCCTCTAATTAGTGATTTTTTTTTAAGCTTTAAAGACCTTCATACTACGTTGGCAAGGGTAAAATGTAGAACCTTTGTTTCACGAGAAGCCAGATAGTAATTTCTTCTCCAGGAAACCATTCCCTAAGTCAACTTTCTCCTGTACCCAGACATAAATGATAATACAGGCCGTATTTTACCTGATGCTGTATTTTTGTAACTGTCACTGTCAAAATCCAAGCCCTTGAAGGCAGGCTTACTTCAGATCTTCATTGCCTTGCACAATGCAAGGGTAGGTACTTCCATCTTAATTGAATTTTTACTTCCCATAAAAATTCTTCATGCTGACTTACATTAGTTATCATTACACATCACCGTCAGTTTTGTAACCACAGTGTCATTCAAGGTATTGTACAATTTTGAGTTTGATGATGAGATGTGTGACAGTTTCAATTATTTTAGTACAGCCCTAATGAGAACAAGGCTGTGGTATTGATTCCCTTCAAAGTTGGCATCTAAATGAAGGTAACATTCACAAGGAGGGCGTAACTGAAAGCATGTAGAAGCATCATAATAAACTGTTGCTAACACACACAAATAAAGACTATTCCAATAAGTATTGTTTTTCTTTTCTTTTCTTTTCTTTTTTTTGAGACAGTCTCACTCCATCGCCCAGGCTGGAGTGCAGTAGCGCCATCTCGGGTCACTGCAACCTCCGCCTGTTTTCCAACTCCTTAGTTAAGCATACAGCTCCAGTCAAACCAAACTAGAGGTCAGTCTGTCCTTCCATTTTACTTGCTGTTTTATGTCTTTTAAAAGCAATGGGGTTTTCGCCGGGCGCGGTGGCTCAAGCCTGTAATCCCAGCACTTTGGGAGGCCGAGACGGGTGGATCACGAGGTCAGGAGATCGAGACCATCCTGGCTAACCCGGTGAAACCCCGTCTCTACTAAAAAATACAAAAAACTAGCCAGGCAAGTTGGCGGGCGCCTGTAGTCCCAGCTACTCGGGAGGCTGAGGCAGGAGAATGGCGTAAACCCGGGAGGCGGAGCTTGCAGTGAGCTGAGATCGCGCCACTGCACTCCAGCCTGGGCGACAGAGCGAGACTCCGTCTCAAAAAAAAAAAAAAAAAAAAAAGCAATGGGGTTTTCAAACTGTTCTTAAAGCCATGGCTTAACCAGGAGTCCCTTTAATTAGAGCAACTATACCTTTATGAATTGGAGGAATGCCAGGTAATATTATTTATATATTTTATAAATAAATATAAATTTATATTAAAATAAATTTTGTGTGTGTGTGTGTGTGTGTGTGTGTATATATATATATATTTTTTTTTGAGACGGAGTTTTGCTCTTTCTGTCTTAAGCTGGAGTGCAATAGTGTGATCTCGGCTCACTGCAACCTCTGCCTCCCAGGTTCAAGTGATTCTCCTGCCTCAGCGTCCTGAGTAGCTGGGATTACAGGTGCCCACCACCACACCCAACTAATTTTTTATATTTTTAGTAGAGACAGGATTTCACTATGTTGGCCAGGCTGGTCTTGAACTCTGGACCTAAGGTGATCCACCCACCTCAGCTTGCCAAAATGTTGGGATTACAGGCGTGAGCCATTGCGCCTAGCCTATTTATATATTTTTTGAGACACGGCCTTGTTCTGTTGCCCAGGTCGTAGTGCAGTGGTGTGAACATGGCCCACTGCAGCCTCGACCTCCCTGGCTCAAGTGATCCTCCTGGCTCAGCCTCCCTTGTATATGGGCCCACATGCATGTGCCACCATGCCCAGCTAATTTTTTAATTTTTTGTAAAAATGAGGTCTCACTTTGTTGCCCAGGTTGGCCTCGGAACTCCTGGGCTCAGGTGATCCTCCCACCTTAGCCTCCCAAAGTGCTAGGATTACAGGTGTGAGCCACTGTGCCCAGCAATATATTGTTTAAAAAGCTTTCTTGCTGCATGTTTACTATCAGTATTTTGCAATCTTTCAGGGTCAACACTATACCTCAATATACAGTGTTAACTTCTTATCTATTTCATTGGAACCATGAAGGATTGAATGTGTGTGGGGAAAAAGTCTTTGTGGTTTTAGAAATATGCAAAATCAGTTAATTTTTTGATGTGAAGGTAACAGTAGTTGAAATGCTTTTGAAAGTTGCTTGCCATTTCAACACTAAATATGAGTTTTTTTTCCACTCATTAGGCATTTTGATTTCTATCCTCACGTATATTAGTGGAGAATTTTAAATCCCCCGATTATCACAGATGAAAACACAAGCTGATGGTGCACCTGCAGTCCCAGCTACTCCATTGGCTGAGGCAGGAGGATTACTTGAGCCGAAGAGTTTGAGTCCAGCCTGAGCAATATAGTGAGAACCTGGCTCAAAAACAAAAAGATTTAAAAAGTTTTCTTGCTAAAAATAATTTTTAAAACTTTGAAAACAATTGATAAAATCTAGTCTCTTCATTTTACACAAAATAACTAAATATCCTGGGTGCTGTGTGAATTGTATGAAAAAATCTCCTTAATCTGAATGTTTCCTTTCACTTAATAAATGAAGGATCACCTGGTGATTTTGAAATCAGTTTATTTTGTTCATTATTCTTAATATTTAAGGAAAACAATGGAAAATGGAAAAAAATTTGTCTTCTGCTACATCAAAAAAACATTTTAATCCAAACCCCACTAAAAATTGTAACAAGCTCTGCATGAGTTTGTAAAAATAAAAACATGAAAGTTAACAAGCATTGAGAATGTCAAATTATCACAAAATCATAGGGAGGTGGTGGTGGTGATATTGCTTCTTGACTTACACTGGGATTTACAACATGATTACTAATATACTTAACACTCAAAGAAATATCTGATACAGAGAATTACTTCTTCATTGTGGCCTTCCAGAGGGCAAAGACTATTATTCATCTTCGAATAGTCAAATTCTAACACAGTATGTGGAATAACAGTAGGTGTTAAATAAACATTTGTTGTATTGACATGTTCCTTTTATAATTAATGAGTTATTGGTAATTTATTATACAATATTTTCTGGTTATTGTTCAAAAGCATATTACATATTATCTAACTTTAGATATCAAATATTAGAAAAGGCTAGTTTTAAAAACAATAGTTCTTTCAGTTTTACTTTCCTATTTCATAAAAAAGGACAGTAAGAATACATTGTTAGGGTAACATGAACTAATTCGCGTGCATATTGAAATTACATAGACCTAAATGCTTTTCTCTTCAGATGTCCAAGGTTTTTACCCAGTTAACTCTGGTGGGAATCTTTCCAAGCATATTAAATACTTTTCTGCTTTCCTAAACATGGGTTACTGAATATAATTTCACCTTTTCTTTATGACTAAAGTTCATCATTATAAGCATTCCTTATTACACTAAAACAGTGTTAATTTGCCTATTTCCTCTTTACCTAGGATGTGTCTGCCCTTATAAACCCGACTATCTCCGTCTGGATTAACCTATTATATGCTTGATTTATTTTTATTTTTATTTTTTTAGAGACAGGGTCTCACTGTGTTGCCTAGAGTGCAGTGGCATGATCATAGCTCATTGTAATCTTGAACTTCTGGGTTCAAGCAATCCTCCTACCTCAGCGTCCTGAGTAGCTGGAACTACAGGTGCACAGCACCACACCTGGCAAATTTTTAAACTTTTTTTTTTTTTTTTGAGATGGAGTCTCGCTCTGTCGCCCAGGCTGGAGTGCAGTGGTGTGATCTCCACTCACTGCAAGCTCCGCCTCCTGGGTTCATGCCATCCTCCTGCCTCAGCCTCCCAAGTAGCTGGGACTACAGGCGCCTGCCACCACGCCCAGCTAATTTTTTTTATTTTTAGTAGAGACAGGCTCGTTAGCCAGGATGATCTCGATCTCCTGACCTCGTGATCTGCCTGCCTCGGGCTCCCAAAGTGCTAGGATTACAGGCATGAGTCACCACGCCCAGCCCATGTTTGTTTTTTATAAAAGCATGCCCTTACATGAGAATGAAAGTAATCCTTTCATGGTGTATAGGACCCCAGCTTTAGGGTCTTTTGATAACTATTTTGGCTGTTAAGCCTTTTCCCCCTTTTAGTGCCTAGAAAAAGTAGAGGTTGTATGGATAAGTGCCCCTTAATCACCAAGACTTCTTGAGGACTAAACCTCAACTTCCTTTTATAAAATGATGATGGTAATAGTCCCTACCTCTGTGGGCTGTTGTGAGGATTCAGTAAAATAATAAAGTGCTTATCATGCTGCCTGGCATATATGAAGTGTTAATGTTAACTGTTACTATCAGTTGTAATGTCACAATAGTAATGATAAGCTATCTTTCACATAAGAAAATATTGCTGTTGATCTATATCACCAAAGTGTGTGTACTCTGAACTGTATGATCAGGAGAGGTTAAAGGATTTGCTCAGAACAAATAATGGGGAGAGTCCGTTCGACCTCTCCCTATTATGACCCATGTTTTTAATGAAAATCTCATAGTTTGGCTCTAAAGTAAGCTGCTTGGCTTTCATTCATAATCTGTTTCCACTAAAAATATACATTTGTCTATGGTTCTACTAATATCACAATTAGTTTATGAGATGTTGGAGATCTTATATACTCCAGGAAGAAGTTATAGAAAATTTCATAAAGTCCAACTGGAAATTAAATTAAACTTTTAATGCATATCATTTTAAAAATTCACTTTCCATTTTCTGTTTTAAAGTGCATGTAAAATTCTTTTCCATTTTTTGGTAGCTAATTAATTTGAAGAAGGGAAATACAATGCTTTACTAGTACTACCAACAGGATTTTACACAAGAAACATTAGTAACTTAAGCTGTGGATGCTGTGAATGTACAATTGATACAGATTTTGTAAATCCATACTGGGCCTTGAACTTATGTTTATTATAAAAGTCAAAGGGTAATTTTCTTTTAAAGATGTATTACTTATAAAATATTCCCAAAGTGTGAACTGTGCTTTTAGTTTAGGATATATGATTTAAATTGATGCACACTTCAGATGAATGTTTACCCCTGCTGTAGATTTAAAGAACAGCATAGATATCTCAAGAACCCCAAATAAAATTAATTTTTCCCCTCCTTATGTAACTTCTTAAGGATTTAAATCACAGAACTAATCAAGAAACCCTCTACTTTAACCAAGCAGTTTGTAAGGATAAATAGCAGGATACAGAAATTCTCAAACCTATATATATTGGTAAAATTAAATGACTTTTCCCTTTAGGTAGAAGTCCAGCCTCTCAAATTGCATTTGAGAATCAAAGTTTTAACTGTAGTTGGAGACCATGGATTGAGGATGCACTGCTTTGGAGTTTCTCAGAAACTGTATCTTCTTTCAGTGTGGTTTTGATGACTTCAGATACTCCACTGATTCCAAGGATGCAAGGCAAACTTAAAAACACTTCACTATCTATATCATAATATCCCTGAAATGAGAAAAATAAGGGTTTTAATAGAACTAAATCACTGCAAAGAAGTTAATACAAAAATGCATACTTTTTTGCTTTCTTAGTTCTAAGACAAAGTGATACAAGTTGGACTCAAAAAGGTTTTTTTGTTCATTTACTTATTTTTATTTTATTTTTAGAAGTCCAGACCTCACAATCATTCATTGATTTTATAAACTTATCGTTTCAGAAAATTTTTGAGAGATGGAAGCAACTTGGTCAGACACCCACTTTGTAGAGAAGTAAGCTAGCCCCCTGCAATATGGGTAGCAGGTTGGGGGCTAAGAAAAAAAATAGTTAAGAATGGATTTCCTGGGGAGGGGCATGGGATGGTCTTTGGGCACAGTCAAATGACAATAACATCTTAAAAAAAAAACACTGGTACCATAATGGTATGTATTTGTGGGGTACATGTGATATTTCAGTATATGCATACAATGTGTAATGATCAAATCAGGGTAATTGGGCTATCCATCACCTCAAACATTTATCATTTATTTGTGTGGAAAACACTCCAAATGGTCTCTTCTGGCTATTTTGTTTTTCTTTTCTTTCTTTTTTTTTTTTTTTTTTTTTGTTGAGATGAGGTCTCTCTATATTGCCCAAGCTGGTCTTGAACTCCTAAGCTCAAGTGATCCTCCCCCCTTGGCCTCCCAAAGTGCTGGGATTACAGGCATGAGCCACCACACCCACCCTCTTCTAGGTGTTTTGAAATGTACAATAAATTATTAATAATCACACTCACCCTACTGTGCTGTTGAACACTAGAATTTAGTGTTCAATTCAACCTGTGTCACCCAGGCTGGAGTTGCAGTGGTGTGATCTTGGCTCACTGCAACCTCTGCCTCCTGCCTCAGCCTCCCAAGTAGCTGGGATTACAGGCACCTGCCATTATGCCCAGCTAATTTTTATATTTTTAGTAGAGAGGGGTTTCACCATGTTAGCCAGGCTGGTCTCAAACTCTTAACCTCAAGCGATCCGCCCGCCTTGCCTCCCAAAGTGCTGGGATTACAGGCGTAAGCCACCGCACCCAGTCAAGATTTTATTTTTGGAGACAGGGATTCGCTGTGTTGTTCATGCTGGAGTCCAGTGACATGGCTCACTGCAGCCTCAACCTCCCAGGCTCAAGAGATTCTCCCACCCCAGCCTACTGAGTGGCTGTCACATGCCTGGCAAAGTTTTGTTTTTGTTTTTGTAAAGATGGGGGTCTCACTATGTTGCCCAAGCTGGCAGACTTCTCATAGCTAAGCAGGATAGGGCTTAAACTAAACTGCTTTCTCCTACCTGTTACTCTAAAAGCTGGTGATACTGAAGACACCTGGGGTTAGAGTATGAATAATGATTTTGCTAGTTTTGTATTAATAATATCTAAGTTTAAAATATAATGAGAGAATAAGAATAGCAATTACCTTTGCTAAAGTTGATACAGAATGCACTTTCTTCTTATTGTTTACAATACTGTCAACCATGTCAGCTACTGATAGTCCAACAGACCAGGATCTTTGACTTTTTACTCTAAGCAGTTCCATGGCTCTAGGTTACAAAAATAGATGATCTCAGAAAATCCACAGAATATGCACATTTAGTTTTACATTCTGGTTAAGGTATTAATTAGATGTTTCTATGACAGAAACGAGTTATACAGCAATTGTTAGGGAAGCCTATAGATAATCGAATGTTTATTTAAACTTTTCTTAAGATGTTAGGCAGTTCAAAGAAAATACAGATGACCTAATAACATAAAAAATGTTCACTGCCATTGATATTTAACCAAATATGACTTAAAACAATAAATACCAATTTGCCTACCGATAACTGGCAAAAATTAAAAAGACTGATAATTAACTTGGAGAAACTATTAACAGGCATTCCCATAACTGCTGTTGAGAATGTAAAGTGATCTAACCTTTTGAGAAGAAGATTTGGTAACATCTGATCTAGAAATTCCTCTTCTAGGTATTTATCTTATAGCAGTATGCTCAAGAGTGCAAAGATGTACATAATAAGCATGTCTGCATATTTGGAAACAACTCATCAAAAGAGGACTGGTTAAACAAATCACTACCATGTAGTGCCATGTAGCTTTTGAGAAGAATAAGGTAGATTTACATGTACAATGTGCAAAAATGTCTGAGATTTATCATTAAGGAAAGAAATCAAGTTGCAGGATAGTTTGAGTAACACAAATCTATATTATTATACATTTGTAGAAGCACTGAAAAACAATTTTTTCTTTTTAGAGATAGGGTCTCTATGTTGCCCAAGCTGGTCTCAAACTCCTGGGCTCAACTGATCCTCCCATTTCAGCCTCCTGAGTAGAAAAAAATTTTTTGGGCATGTGGACACTAAGTTGTCAAAAATGGTTGTCTCTGAAAAATGGAATTACCTTAGCTTTTAAATTTCTTTTAATACTTTATAGATATCTGCAGTATTTGAAATTTTATAATAAGCATACATTCTTTTGTAGATAAAAATATATAAACACTTAAATTTTTTCCTTTTGAAAAGTATAAATGCAAGATTGTAGAATCAGATTAGAATGAATTATACCATACACTAATCTTCTCAATAAAAAACCGAACACTTTTTCCAGTTGTTATATTCTAAAAGTCATAAGCTGATGGCTTTGAAAACTAAAAATGCCACCTCCCAGACTTCAGGAAAATGTTATTATGTGACAGTGAAAC